ACACACACACACACACACACACACACACACACACACACACACACACAGACACGCACACACAGAAAAACGATTAAATCCAAAGTGTTTCACTCACAGAGTGTTACATTATATTATAGATTTATAAAGCAGAATCAGTTTCTTATTGACCATTTGGTTTGCTGAAGTCGGCATATTTTCTAAAGTCTGCTTCACATTTGACAGCCAGTAAATGAATTTCATCCATCTTTTGGTGAAGAAACATTATAGTCCAAAAAATGTAAAAACCAAGCAGTTCATCATCAACTTCTCTTACACAACAGAAAACAAGTCAGCCTCATGAAAATCGAATATTACAAGGGCGTGAGAAGAAATGGCATTCTGCTCAAGGAACAACTAATTCCACACCGTTGTATCTTTTTGGTGGAGTAAAACGGCGAGCAATGAATGTGCACGTTTTTGTTAAGTCGGTTCTGAACATCTCACAACACAGCGAGGGGACTTTCTCATTATTCATATCTCTTTATCAACTGAAAATGCACATGAGTACAACTTCTGCAGCATCCATATCCTCTCAGGCACTGGTTGCTAAGTAACAGACGGAGAGATGTATTGAGACAGAATAGTCAATCAATTCTCCTGTGAGGTGTGTGTGTATGTGTGTAAGCCCGGTGCATTGCACAGCCATGTTGTTTGTGCAGTTGGACATAGTCTGTGAGTTAAACACTCACAGAAGATATTTGTGTTTTCACGACGGTGTTTAAAACCTAAAAGGATGACAATTTCCACGAGAGTCCAAACCTGATGTTTTAACCACACAGCACATAGTGATCTTCAGTTCCATCCAAAGGTCAGATATCATAAAGACTCTCTGCCATGGTTTCCGGATTTTGTGTAGTCAGATTGGTTGGTGTTCATAGGAAATAATTACCTCTTCCCCTCACGAATGAAAAACTGCTTACTATTGTCCAGCCAGAGATTTGTTGAACTGTTTGCTGCCAGTTTCCAAATTGGGAATACTGGACTTCTTTTGCAAGTCTTAGACTTCTAATTTAAATGCAAGTGTTTGTTTGAACAATGACATTCATAAATACATATGAAAATGTGAAGAATATGGGGATTTTAGAGACAAAGGCAGTGTTTGCTGTTCTGTCTCACACGTGGCGGACTAACACGTGGACAGACTACAGCAT